ATCGAGCAATACGCCTAGCAGTAAAGCCTGGATTTGGAACATAAATTTCTAAATCTTTTTTCACTTCTGACCAACATTTTTCATAGTTATCTTTAGCCTTCGGCTTCTTCTACCATCAGGCGGCCAATCCTGTCCAGGAAGGGCCCCCCCCCCATGTGGGAGGAGGAAGCAGGCTCTGGAGACACCCCACCCCAATTTCAGGGTGCCTGGGAAACCCTTCCAGAAATGGAGCCAAATTATTGTTATCATGATTATATAATCACAGTATTTATACCCGCTTTCCCCCCTGACAACGAGTCAAGGTGGCTTACAGATAAAAATAAAAACAAGTAAAAACACAAGGGGAAAAGCACCACCAGAGAAAGGGCACAGCACCCTTAAGAGTGCCCTGGGGCTGCCAAGCTGCCCCCTTTGCCCAGCCCTTCATTGTGGCTCTTATTTTAGCTGTCTTGGAGCAAAGGAATTGCATGTCATCTCTGGCCAACCCTTAAGTTCTAAATTCCCCCAAATCCTGGGAGATGCAGCTGTGTGGGTGTGTGGCTGCCTTGTGGGTCTTTCATCCCCTGCAAGAGAAAGCCCTCCTCATCGAGCCAAAGGGCAACCCTTTTGCTGGGGGCTCCTGCTGGAGCTCTGAAATCTGCTCTCCAAATAAATCCCCTCTCTCACTCCCTCTTGGGCAGCCACAGAGAGACCCCCGTGAAGAGGAACCTGCTGCCATGGCTGACCCCAGCCCAACCTCTTCCCCAACCCCAGATGCTGAGCTTTCATTTTAAAAAAGGCCTCTAGTCCTCCCAGAGACCTTTGGAACTCCCTGCCTAGGGAAGCTAGATGGGCTGCCTCCTTGCTGGCAGATGGGAACTGACTGTGTTTTGAAGAATGGGCTGGCACTGTGGCATTTGTATTGTTGCTGTTATCTGTCTTTCTAATGTTGTGATGTTTAGTCTTTTAGTCGTGTCCGACTCTTTGTGACCCCCTGGACCAGAGCACGCCAGGCCCTCCTGTCTTCCACTGCCTCCCGCAGTTTGGTCAAACTCATGTTTGTAGCTTCGAGAACACTGTCCCACCATCTCGTCCTCGGTTGTCCCCTTCTCCTTGTGCCCTCCATCTTTCCCAACATCAGGGTCTTTTTCAGGGAGTCTTCTCTTCTCATGAGGTGGCCAGAGTATTGGAGCCTCAGCTTCAGGATCTGTCCTTCCAGTGAGCACTCAGGGCTGATTTCCTTCAGAATGGAGAGGTTTGATCTTCTTGCAGTCCATGGGACTCTCAAAAGTCTCCTCCAGCACCAGAATTCAAAAGCATCCATTCTTCGGCGATCAGCCTTCTTTATGGGTCTTTCTAATAGATCTTTTTAATACATTGTTTTAATTCTATTTGTGCTTAATAACTTTTTAATGATTATCTTTTCCACGATTTTAGCTTTTTCTATTTGATGTGTAAAGTGGCTCTGAGTTCCAGTCTGGGGGAAAGGCAGGCTATAACAACAACAACAACAACAACAACAACAACAACAACATGAAGCAAAACCTGCAGGCAGCCTCTAGGTGGTTTCTGTGACAGGAGCCTGTCAAGTGCTTGCCAGCCGATGAGTGATTGTTGGCTGAGCTGCTTGGACGCCAGACTAGAGGACTCTGATGACAATGCAAACATGCCCCAAAATACTAGGAGGTGGCCTAGATATCTCTCGCTTGGACTACTGCCATGCGCTCTGTGTGGGGCTTCCTTTGAAGGTGACCCGGAAACTGCAATTAATCCAGAATGCGGCAGCTAGACTGGTGACTGGGAGCGGCCACTGAGACCACATAACACCGGTCCTGAGAGATATGCATTGACTCCCAGTATGTTTCTGAGCACAATTCAAAGTGTTGGTGCTGACCTTTAAAGCCCTAAAGGGCCTTGGTCCAGTGTATCTGAAGGAGCATCTCCACCCCATCATTCTGCCCGGACACTGAGGTCCAGCTCCGAGGGCCTTCTGGTGGTTCCCTCACTGCGAGAAGCCAAGTTACAGGGAACCAGGCAGAGGGCCTTCTCGGTAGTGGCATCTGCCCTGTGGAACGCCCTCCCTTCAGATGTGAAGGAAATAAGTAGCTATCCTATCATTAAAAGACAGCCCTGAAGGCAGCCCTGTTTAGGGAAGTTTTTAATATTTAATGCTGTATTGTTTTTAACACGTGATTGGGAGCCGCCCAGAGTGGCTGGGGAAACTCAGCCAGATGGGCGGGGTATAAATAATAAATTATTACTATTATGAGCTCAAAAGAATTCTTCAGCTCACATTTCCAAAAAAACCTGAAGCCTTTCTATTAGTGACCATTGGTGATGAGATCCCTATGAAGGTACACAACTTATTTCTTTATGCAACAGCAGTGGCCAGAATAGCATAAATTGGAAAGGAGAAACCTCAACCAAAGAGAGACAGCGGCTGCACAAATTGTCAGAATTCACAGAACTTGCAAATATGACAGCCAAAGTAAGGAATCAGAATGGGGTAAAAGACAAAGGGCAGATAGGATAGTTTTAGGGAATATTTTAAAAAATATTACACTAAAATCGATTTACAAGCAGGGGTATTCCTATGAACAGCAGTTAAATACAGGAAATATTATTTATTAGCTCAGGGTGGGCTAATAAACTGATATGCAGCAATGTTGACAATGCCATGGACCATCAGGTTGGGAAGTCTGCACAGAAATTATGCATGATGGTAAAGTATGATGTGTCAATCGAAAAATGGAAACTGCATAAACAATTTTTTTAAAGGGCTCTCTGGGGTCCTGAAGAGCTGCTGTTCCCCCTCTCCCTTTTAATGCACTTTTCCTGTTACTGTTTCATTTTCTAGGCAGAAGTTCCACAGGTTAAACCTTTTCTCCCTGTGGCAATGCCATTTTGGGGGAAGTTTCCCCATGGTGGTTCTCCCTCATTCTGTGTTGTGCCACCCCTCCTCCACCCCACCCGTGGCAACCATTTTTTGACTGCACCCCCCCACTCTCTCACAATTCAAAGTGTCCCCCCCCCTTCGGAAAAGGGTGGGGGCCCCTGTTGCAACCTCTTTTGATACTGAACTTTAAATGGCTGTAAATTTCCCTGGGAGAAGGGCAGGTAAGAAATCAACAGCAGCAAGAAGAATTCGGGACTTTTTGCTCTTGTTTTCCAAAACATGCAAATCGAATGAAAGGTTGAAGAGCTGGTGAAGTTCATACACAGCGAGAAAAAAGCAGTTAGCCAGAAAAGGAGCTCCTCCCTCCATGTAAATGGAGAAAGTTTGTCACCGTTACAGTCTTCTTCCAAAATTTTCAGTACACAGATCGCTCACTCATCTAGATACTGATGCCCTGCTTTGCATTGCAAGCTTCTTACACTGCCAAGGTAACTTTGAGGCAATACTTAATAGTTACTGAGGTCCCGTCTAAGTGTGCAGATTCCCTGAGACGTTTTCACAGAGGGAGCTTGTCAGTAACAGTGGTATGAATTAAAAATAAAAATCATAGTATATCCATTTCTAAGCAAGATACATTGCCACCCTCGGAGGATGGAGCGTGACCTCGAGGAGAACCGCTGGGCTCTGCCCCAGGGTCCGCCCTCGCCTCCCCGCACCCGCAGCTCCTCTGGGTCGCCAGAAGGGTCCATGGGAGGCGTCGCGGAGGAGGCGTTGTCCCCCCAAAAAGAGAGTTGCAGCCCCCCGCAAGAGGGGGAAACCCTCGCTCCCCAGACTTAGTCTCCAGAGCCCCGTCCCCATCTGCAGACTGCTCTGTACAGCCTCCCAGTTCAGTTCCGTCTAACATTAAAGCCAATAAAATAATGCCCCCCCCAATTTTTTATTTTTTATTTTTGGAGGGGCGAGGAAGTTGGAACCAATTAAGTTCGCCCCTCCCCTGAAAAGGGATCCGCGAATCTCCAGATTTCCCCCCCCCCCACAACCCCGCAAGGTGCAGGGGGGGCGCGGAGCCAGGCGGGCACCTCGAACATTTTGAGAGAGGGGGACACCCAGATGTGCCCCTTCCCCGTTGGCCGAACCAGAACGAGGGTCCTCGCCTCGGCCAGGGGCCGGGCAGCATTCTTCAGGGGTGGGGATGAGGAGGAACACCCCCCCCCGCCTGCTCTGAGGCCGCATTCCTGCCCCCGCTCCCCGAAGGCTGGGTTTTCCCAGGCTCTGGGGCGTCGGCGGCAGCTGCTGCTGCGGGCCGCCCGCCCGGCTTCCCTCCCCGACGGCTCCGTCCAAGCCGCGCGCCAAGGAGCGCTCAAGTCCCCGGAGGGGGGGCAGGAGGAGGAGAGGGCGGCGGCCGCAATAAAACCTCCTGGCACGTGCTGGGCTCGGAGCTGCTGCTGGCGAAAGCCCCGCTGCCCTTTACTCGCGAGGAGAGGCCGTTGTGCTCAGGCGACCCCGCGCCCTACATTTCTCTCCTCGCCGTCGGGATCCCGGCCGCGAAGAGGCGGCTGCGCTCCGGCTCGACAGCGTCTTCGAGAGGGGCAGGGCGGGCAGGTGCGCCTCCTCCCCACCTCTCCGCATCCTGCATTCACGAGAGCAGGACACCAGCTAAGGGGGTTCCTCCCCCCACCCGCCAGCGACCCTCTCCGGCCCCGTCGGTGGGCGGCCGGGGATCCTTAGCGGATCCCCATTTAACTGCCGCTCAGGGTGCTCTCCGGGGAAAAGCTCCCCCCTCCGGAGAGCGAGCCCCCGAGACCCGTCTGCGAGGCGGAGCCCCGAGCCCGTCGGGTGTCCGAGCGCGCGGCGCGGCAAGGGTTAAAGCCAAGCGAGCGGCTGGTGATTGACAGGGCGGCCCCTGGTGCCCGGGGTGGCGGGGAGGGGGGTGTCCGGGCGCGCGCCATTGGCCGCCGGGCGTTGCGCCGGGCGGCCAATGGGTGCGCGCCGTCCACGAGCGGGGCCGCGTGCCTCCGGCTCCCATTGGCTGAAAGTCACTGTGGGAAAGAAAGTTTGGGAAGTTTCACACGAGCCGTTCGCGTGCAGCGCAGCCTATAAATAGGCGCCGCCGGGCGGGGAGGCGGCCGGGATTGCGCCGCGCAGGGAGGCAGCAGCAGCAGCAGCAGCAGACGGAGAGCGCGCGCCAGGCAGCCGCCGCCTGTGACCCGCCCCGTCCCTCCGGGCTGCTCCACCGCGCGCGCGCGCCCGCCCGCCTGTCCGTGCGCGTCCCGGTTGCCAGGGCGGCTTGGGAAGCAGACGCCGCAGCTCCGGCTCCTTTGGACTCGCCACCACCCGGAGAGCCGCTCGCCTGGCCCCCTCGACGGCCGCGGCCGCTTTTTCCCACGACTCGAGGGGTTCGCGGCGGCTTGCCCCGCCGGGCTTCTCCGGGGGCCAGGATGCCCGCCGACCTGATGGAGAAGAGTTCCTCGTCGCCCGTGGCCGCCACGCCGGCCAGCATCCACGCCACGCCCGACAAGCCCCGCACGGCCTCGGACCACCGGAAGGTAACAGGCGGCGGGGCGTCGGGGGCCGCTCTTCTCCGCTCCCCTCCCCGTCTCCCCCTTCCTCCCTCCCTCCCTGCCTCCTTCCTGCGGGTCTGACGGGCGCTTGTCTCTTGCAGTCGTCCAAGCCCATCATGGAGAAGCGGCGGCGCGCGCGGATCAACGAGAGCCTCGGGCAGCTCAAGACGCTCATCCTGGACGCGCTCAAGAAGGACGTAAGTGGCCCCGAGAAAGGAACCTCCCGGGCTGCGGGTGGGGGGCATCGCGGGAAAGGGTCTTGGAGCGCGGGCCCCGTCTCCGGCTCCCCCAGGCAGGCTGCGCATTCAAGGAGACTGGACGCCCCCCAGCCCGGGAAGGCTGCGGGACGTCATTCTCACCACCACCCTGGGAGGGGTGCCCTCCCCCCACTTCAAAAAGCCAGGAGCCCCATGGCCTTCCAGGGTCCAAAGTCTTCCCATGTCCCTGTTGCTATTATTATTATTAATTATTATTAAATATCAATTAATTAAATGTTCTTAAGTACTATATCTTAACACCCCGACGATAAATCCCACCCTCACAATTAGTGGGGATAACCTTGTGGACTTGCCTGGGGGTGACCTGCCAGCCCCCTTTTTCTGGGAAAATGCCGACCAGCGTCTGCTGCCCTTCTGGGACCTGGGGGTGAGGGTCTTCCTTCGCTTTCCAGCTGAGATTCATCCCTCCTTTGAGCTCCTCCTGTGCCCAGACTCTCTCCCTCTCCCGCCCCCCCCCCCCAGCGTGTCGCCCCCTGGTGCTCACTCTCCCCCCCCCCCTTGCCTTGCAGAGCTCCCGGCACTCCAAGCTGGAGAAAGCGGACATATTAGAAATGACAGTCAAGCATTTGAGAAACCTGCAGCGAGCGCAGATGACGGGTGAGTGGCTGGCCGGGCTGCGCGCGAGAGAGAGAGCGCGTGTCCCCCCCCTCCCTGCCCCCTCCCTCTCTCCCCCTCCCTCTCCAGAGGTGATTTCTTCCAGACTTCCGCCTGCGGTTTTGAATGCCATTCAAGCTGTGTTTTACTGACTTGGCGAAGGCGGCCTTTCCCACGGTCTGGGTCTTATTTATAGCCGCAACTCCAAGTTGTTACTGTTCCGGAAAAGAGGTGGGGGGGGGGAGAGAGAGAGAAGGGAGAGGGTGGCAGCTTGCAGGCAGAGGAAATGGGGACGGGATAATGAGAAGCAAACGGGACACATCCTGCTGCTCCTGCTGTAGGAGGCGAGAGCCGCCGCCCCCCTCTCCTTGCTAAGGCTTCCCTTTGTTTAAAGCTGTGTGCAACCTTGGCAGGCAGCCTCTGAATGGAGGGTGCTTCTGCGCTGCAGAGATCTATGCTCTTGAATCCTAGAATTCGAAGGGACCCCAAGCATCATCTAGACCAACCCCCTGCAGTGTGTGTGTGTGTGTGTGTGTGTGTGTGTGTGTGTCCTGTTCAGCCCCTGTGACACTTGTTCTTGGCTGTCTCTCCCTCCTTCCTAAGGCTGAATACTCTGGGCTCTGTGTCTCTCTGTCTTTTCTGACATTGCCTCTTTCCTTCCCTTCTTCTTCCAGCCGCGCTGAATACAGACCCCACTGTGCTGGGTAAATACCGGGCCGGATTCAACGAGTGCATGAACGAGGTGACCCGCTTCCTCTCCACCTGCGAGGGGGTGAACGCCGAGGTGCGAACCCGACTGCTCGGACACCTGGCCAGCTGCATGAGCCAGATCAACGCCATGAACTATCCCGCCCCTCAGCCGTCCTCCGCTGCACTGCCGATGCCACCCCACCCCGCACCCCCCGGGGGCCAGCACGGCCCCTCTTTCGGGCAGCCCCTGGTGCAGATCCCAGCAGGCGCGGTGCCCCCTGCGGCCAGCGTCGTGCCTTGCAAGCTGGGCAGCCCAGCTGGGGAAAGCACCAAGGTGTACGGAGGCTTTCAGCTGGTGCCAGCCTCCGACGGGCAGTTCGCCTTCCTCATCCCCAGCACGGCCTTTGGGCCCCCGCACAGCAACGCCGTCATCCCCCTCTATGCCGACGGGGGCATGGGGTCGGCGTTGCCCCCCGCTGCCTCGGTCTCTCCTGCGTCTGGCGCCCCATCGCTTTCGGCAGATTCGGTATGGAGGCCTTGGTGAAAGCAGGCGAGGGGCTGGCGGCCCACCCACCCTTCGGCCTCCGGACTTTGGGTCAGGACTTGGAGTGCCCCCTACCCCTGTGGCCAGGGCTCTGGGTTCTCTTCCTCCGAGGGAGCCAGCGACCTTCTGGTTCTCTGGCTGTAAATAGCTGTCTACCGTTCATATTGGATTGTGCCTTCGTTTGTACCGTAGCAAATGCTCTCCTCTCCCTTTTCTTTTCCATGGCTTTTCACGTGGCCTGCACAAGTGTGCACATGCTTGTGAGAGAGTCCACATTTCAGAGTCCACCTCTTTCCCCCCCCCACCCTCTTTCTGGCTTTGTCTCTGCCCAACTCCTTTTATTTTCAGTGACACCAAAGACCTGTTTGTTCTTAACAACGAGGAAAGCCTTTCCTTCCTTTTGGAAGTTATTTGATAAAAATAAAAAAGACATTTGGCATTGTGTGTGCTGCAATAGCCTGGTGTGGGTGCAACTCTCTCCTTTGTGCAGCAGGCGGTGTGGTTGGGGGGGGGGAGAGGGTGCAGGACCCTGAGCTGGGGCTCTCCTGGCGGCCGTGAGTTCACTCTGTTTGCCTGGCTGCTCATAAAGGGCCAAATCACATGGCCTGCAAACCTGATAAGTTCCTTGCCAATTCCCTTTTATCTTCAAAAGTGACCCCTGAATTTAATCCACACAGCAGCAGAGGGGAGGGAGGTCATGATAAGGCCGCCTATCAATGCTATGTGCAAAAAAGACCTTTTCCTCCTGTTCTGCGGTGTCTCACATATGTACACACACAGATTTCCTAATTTTTCGCATGCAGCACAAAAATGGCAGTATAGCCTTTGCTCCCTGCTTGGCCCCAGAAGGACTGTGCATCTCTAGTTCCAAGGGTCTCCGACAGCAGATTTGCGAGTCTGCCTGGGATCCTGGGAAGCCCTTGTTGCTCTAGAGTGGACAATGGATCCTAAGGGCTGCTCTCCATGTAAAGCAACTCTCATACTCCCTTGTATAAGGTGGGGAGGAGCGCAGCAACGCCCCTGGACTAGCCATGGGGAAGTGATGGACCACAGCCTGCAGAGAAACACTTACTAGGGCCTGGAGTTTGTGAAAGCACCAAGACTGAGCCTTTTGCAGCTAGAACATGGGGCTGTTTTAAGGAGAAAAGGTCAGGAAGCTGGGTATATTGATTCTTTCCTAAGTAGCTTTAGCAAGTTAACTATCTTCTCAGGGTTGGAACATAGAACTGAAAGCAGCAAGATGGATTTCAACAGATCAAGGTAAAAACCTGCAGCTGGCTGCAAAATATCATAGGAGCAGGGAGGTACTTCAATGTAAGGTAATCCTAAGTTAGGTCCAGTCGTGTGATGGAAACTTGTTTAGGCTGGAGAAGAGAAGCTGAACAGGAGCCATGACTCTCTTCTCCCAATACCTGAGGACTGGCAGGGGCAGACTTGTTCTCCTTTGCTCTCAGAGAAGGGAAGGGGTGAGGCTAGTGCCCACTGAGAGGGGCAGACTCTCAACGAGAGGAAATAGCAGATTCTGGCTGAACATCTGAAGGTCCTTCCGAGCTGGGCCTGTCTGACCAGGGGCAGAGGCTGCCTGCCTGCGGAGGTGGTGACCTCCCCTTCCCCATGGATCTGAGGATTGAGGGACTGCTGTCTGGGATGCTGAGACAGGATCATAGAATCATAGAGTTGGAAGAGACCACAAGGGCCATCGAGTCCAACCCCCTGCCAAGCAGGAAACACCATCAGAGCACTCCTGACATATGGTTGTCAAGCCTCTGCTTGAAGACCTCCAAAGAAGGAGACTCCACCACACTCCTTGGCAGCAAATTCCACTGTCAAACAGCTCTTACTGTCAGGAAGTTCTTCCTAATGTTTAGGTGGAATCTTCTTTCTTGTAGTTTGGATCCATTGCTCCGTGTCCGCTTCTCTGGAGCAGCAGAAAACAACCTTTCTCCCTCCTCTATGTGACATCCTTTTATGTATTTGAACATGGCTATCATATCACCCCTTAACCTCCTTTTTATGATTTGAGTCCATCAAATCATAAAAATGCAGAGTTGGAAGGGATCCCGGGGGTCATCTAGTCCAACCGCCTGCGATGCAGGAATCACTCATCTCTGACATCCAGCCTCTGCTTAAAAGCCTCCAAGACAACAACGGATTTTTTAATAAACAGAGATGGAGGTCGCTGGACTGATGACTTAAGGGAGGGGAGGAGGCAGTGTGGAAACAGGTGGAGCAGTGGGAAGCCCATCTTCAGGGAATCAGTTCAGACCTCTGCCCCCTCCCGAGGGGCGAGAAGCAGAGGCAGAAAGGGAAACCGGAGGGGGTGGCCCGCGAGAGGCTAGCTGCGGTGGAATGCGGCCCCCAGCAGGGAAAAGGGTTCTCCTGACTGAGGATCTCTTTGCAGCTGTCAGGCCCCCTTGCAATGCTCCCTTTTTGGGGGGGGCAGGGAAGCAACACACACTTCCCCCCTAGAACAGCTTAAGCGGGGTTGCATCCCTGCGGGGCGAGAAAGCAAAAGAGGATTTGCCCGGACCAAGAGCAACATTTTCCAGCAGGGGCCGTACCTCTGCCCCCCCCCCCCCGTCAATGCTTCCTGAGCGAAGGCCGGGCTGCTGTGTGCTTCGCCCCACGGCTCTTGGCCCGCCCCACTTCCATGCAGCTCCGGACCTCCCAGGAAAGCAGGGGCAGCCGCCCCTACCCTAAGTCATTTTGCACGCTCCTTTCCTCCGCCCCCGGGCCTGGCCGGGCGGCGATGATTTAACACCCGCCACATCTGGTTGTGATCAGGCCTGGCGTTTCCTTTGCCCCCCCTAATGGATAAAACATGTGGAGAGGGGCGCTTGCCTTCGGAGCTGCGGCGGCAGCAGCCCTCCCCCCGCCCCTTAGTCATGCCCCATTTGCAGGCGAGATGGGGGAGAGCCGGATAAAGGGCAGGCTTGCGTTTCAGTGCCCCCCCGCCCCCGCCCCCCTTAATAACTCAGCCCGTGCTGAGAATTCCTCGCAAATCCCCCCCAACAAAGGCGGTCGAATTCCCGCTGGAGAGACCAGGTGCCTGCCTGCCTTGCGCTCAGGTGTTGAGGAAAGGAATGCGGCGGGGGGAGAGGGGGGGTTCCAGCCCCTGTCAGCACAGGCCCACGGGCCTCCCTCCTTGGAAAGGCCCCAGGCGCCCAGGCAAAGGAGCCCCTCCTGTCAAGGGTGCATTTTTGGACAGTTTTGGGCCCCTGTTGCTGGCATCCGTCTGCCGCGAGAAACAATGGAGTCTGCCTCCGAGGGTGAAGCCAAACCGCTGCCTTAGCAGCACCCGTGTGCAGGAGGGCCCTGGGCTGCCCAGTTGCGCCCCTGCTCTCTAAAATAAATCGCTTTATTGGAGGTGGCGGGCGTTATGAAGAGGGGGCCGCCCTGAGCTTGGAGGTCGGCCCCCTGCCGTGTCCCATCATAGCAGGCTGGATGGAAGCAGCTGAGGACTTCCTCCCATCTCACCACTGGCTCAGGGCAACCCAGGATTTGAACCCAGGTCTCTCCCAGGCCCTAGTCAGACACTCTAACCACTACGGCACGCTCTGCTCTTGAGTCCTGGCCGCCTCCTGCTGCCCACGTTTCCCGCTCCCCTGGCTGAGAATCCGGGCGCCCGGAGCCCCTTCTGCCCCAGGTGCCCCTGCCTCTAGACTTCACTCCGCCGGGGACTCTGCGCCCCCTTGGCCCGCCCGGCTCCCGCTGCCCCTCCCCACCTGCCCGTTCCCTCCGGCCGCTTTCAGGCTAAGAGCTCCCGGCTGGAGCGGCCTCGGCGCAGCTTTTGGTTCTGGCCCGTGTGCGCTGGCAGCCGAGGAGCCGGGGAGCCTCTCTGCGTGTCGCTGCGCCCGGCCGCCTGCTAAGTGCTCCGCGTTGAACTCCGTCCCGGGCGAGGTCGTGAGAAAGGAGCGCCGGGCAGGCGGCCAGGGAGCGAGCGCCTCCCGCCACGCGAAGTTATGCCGGGTCGGCCGGCTGGCCGGCAGGCAGGCAGGCAGCCGGCTGACAGCGCTCGAGCCCCTGCCCAGCCGTCCCGGGCGCCCAGCCGCTGCCCAGAGCCCCAGAATCCTACTATGGTCGAGTTTGAAGAGACTCCCCCCGGTCATCTAGCCCAACCCCCCTGCAATGCAGGAATCTCAGCTAAAGCATTCATGGCAGGTGGCCGTCCAACCTCTGCTTGAAAGCTCTCCAACAAATCACTGATGTGTAGAGTTGGAAGGGATCCCCAAGGGTCATCTAGGCTAATGCCGGAATCGCAGCTCAAGAATCCTGGACAGAGCCTCTGCTGGATACCTCAGGTGATGGAGAGTCCCTCCACCCCACTGTGGAAGAGCTCTCAGAAAGTTATTCCTAATGATTCAGAAGCATGCAGGATTGGCCTGCCTTCTGCTCCTCCTTGAGAGAAGTACAGTGGTACCTCGGTTAAGAACTTGATTCGTTCCGGAGGTCCGTTCTTAACCTGAAATTGTTCTTAACCTGAAGCACCACTTTAGCTAATGGGGCCTCCCGCTGCCACTGCGCCGCTGGAGCACGATTTTTGTTCTCATCCTGAAGCAAAGTTCTTAACCCGAGTTACTATTTCTGGGTTAGCGGAGTCTGTAACCTGAAGCGTATGTAACCTGAAGCATATGTAACCAGAGGTGCCACTGTACTTCCTTCCACCTCGGCTTTCCTTAGAGCTTCCACCTTGCAAGACTGGCCCAAGGCATTCTCCTTCCCAAGTCTAAGGACAAAGGGGTTCTTCCCAGCTTTTAGGGTGCTGCTGGCCTCGCCTGTCTTTTTCACAGGAAAGGGATCCCCTGCCTTGTCCCTTGAGCTCCCCAGAGCTGGCTTTGGGTTTTCCCAGCTGGTTCTTTGTACCCAGCTGCACCGCGTGGCCGCAAAACCATCCTGTGCTCAAAGGCTCTGGCAGCCGTTTTCTAGCCGAAGAGATAATTTTCTGCACGCTTCAATTTTTAAACTTAGATTTTGTGTATTACCCCCTGCAATCTAAATCCGGCATCTTTTGCATAAATCACCAAGTGTGAAGCAGTGGCTTTAATGATGTGCCTCCTGTTTTTGTTCTTCTGGAAGCTCTCAATTTGAGATCAGAATGTTATTTGGGGATGGATGGGTGAATCAGATGGGGAAGATGGAGATTAATTATTTTTGCAAGTAAGCTCAAGCCAGGACCGTTTGCTGGAGAATTTGTTCCCCATCAGTGCTTCCAAATTCCCTTTGCCTGCCCAGCTTGGAGACGCGGGGGGGGGGGCAGAGGAATTCCCTCTCTGCTCTGTGACTCCCCACCTATTTAGACAGCATTTTATCAGGCAGGCAATCTGCCAGAGTCCCCCACAGGGACTTATCTGCAGGATGTTTACAGAAGGAGGTTCAGGTTGGCTGGGAGAGGAAGAGGAGGAGGAGGGGGGGGATCTGGTTTCTACAAAGCAACTTGG